CCCCTGCATCGGCAGGCGGACTCTCGACCACTGCACCACCAGGGAAGCCCGGCGCTTGCTTTTTGATGTAAGAGAGCCTCATCCTCCCCTAATCAGAGATCCCTCAGAGCCGTCCCAGAAATCTTCCCCTTGACCAAACTGATCCCTGACACCCATGCACTCACACACACTCACACGCTCACACACACTCACACAGTTGGCCAAGGCTCACAGGGTGTTGAAAGAGGAAAGAAGGAGGCCTAACTCCTTGCAGTTAGTCCCACGGCCCTGGGCGCCCCCGTCCCCAGGGTCCTGAGAAGTCGGTGACAAGGTGAGGGACAGGAGGGTCATGCAGAAGCCTGGGGGCAGCTGTCACCAAGAAAGGAAATCCAGCCCTACACCCTGCACCTCCCCTAAGAGGGGCGGCTCAGACGCTCTGTCCCTGTGAGTGGGGCAGACCCAGGGAGAGTCGGGGTTACAGAAAAAAGCAGGAGCTGAGTGGAGAGAGCGAGAGCCACCTAATGCTCGCCTTTCAGAAATGGGGGGCGGCCTCCCCTCACTTTTTCTGTGCTGATGGTCATTCTCCTCGTTGTCCAGATGCTGAAGATCTTGATACTCCTTTGTCATGGTAGGGCTGGCTGGACCTGGGACCAGGTCAGGGCTGGGGTTAGGGCTGAGGCTATGGCTGAACAGAGTTGGGGTGTGTGGTCCAGTACCTTTCTAGGTGATCAGCAGGAGACCTTTCTTCTTGCTCCCATTCCCTCCCAGGCCTGACATCCAAAATCTACCTTCTACAGTTTTCCCACTCCATCCCCAGCCCTCCTGACATGGGTCCCCTCCCTCCCCTCCCCCACCCCACCTCCCAGTTAGTACCCCCCCACAGCCGTTCTTCCCCTTTTACTTGCTGAAGGTCTCAAGGTCGACTCCTGGGTCCCTCGATGCTGCACAGATCCCAGGCTAAGAAACGAGCTGAAGCCTGGAGGATTAGGGTGCGCAGACAGCCCTGGATGGTGGGAGAGGAGGGGGCAGGGTCCATATGAGGGCCCTGAGCCCTGTGCGTCTGCCTGTCTGTACGTCTGCGTGTCTATGTGTCCAAACACACCAAACCTGGCATCTCCAGTGCCCGGGACTTTGGACGTAAACAGAGGTAGAACTGGATTTGGAACACTGTGGGTGTGGGGCTGGGAGTGGGGGATGGGTTGCCCCTTCTTTTCTTCCCAGGGGTGGGGAGTCTCCCCGGTCTGTCCCCATTCCTTGTATGCAGTCACCTCACTCATGGCACCGTTTGGGAGGGGGCCAGGCCAGGAGGGGCCAGGGTGCAGTTTGCCGTTTCCCCTCTGCCCCTCCCCCCTTTCACTTCCTGCCTCTGAATTTCCCAGAATTGGTGGTGTCTCCAAATATCCCTGACCGGGATCAGAGGGGCCGATCTCTGCTCTTGCCCAATCCAGGCCTGTGACCCTGGCATCTGAGCCTGGGCCCGGCTTCACTGGGGCTCAGCCGCCAGACTCCCCAGCCTGGGGCTGAATGGCTTTGCTCTCCGCGGGGAGTAAAGTCCT